AACAGTCATTCTGGCTCCCTCTTATGGCTGATTGAGGAAAACAGCAGCCAATCACATTTTACAGCGTGATTTAAAGAAACAGGTACAACATTGCTATATGATTTATATATTGCCAACCCAACTGTTAGATTATATTCCTAACAGAAATTGTTTCAGGAGACACAATAATTCAAATGCCTAATGAGGCAACTATGTTCCTAATTTTTACTTTCATTGTTAGCAAAAAAAAAAAAAAACTTTTGGTAAGACTGTTTATGATTTTCTGTGTGGAAGTAAATGTTTTGTTCAGGCTTTATTTGCTTACAGTATCTAAAGTTTGTCCAGCTATTATGTCTTTTTTTTTTAATCTTATAGGATGTCACATGTGCTCCACTTTGAGGACAAAACCAGAAAAGTAAAAGACGCAAGTGTGCAAGATGAAGACACATTTGAAATTTATGATCCTCGGAACCCGGTTAATAAGAGGAGGCGAGAGGAAAGCAAAAAGATTCTGAGAGAAAAAAAAGCGAGGAGATGAAATGAGTAGTAAAACTCACCAGATCCAAATTGGAAAAGTACATCGTGCACTTTCTGTCTCTGCAGATGTCCCAAAATATATCACTTACAAGGTGTGAAAAGGAATCTGGGGTCTAATTTGGAAGCAGTGCTATCGCCTCCGTTTTGTGAATTCTGATGTAAAATAAGCAAGTCTTCTCAGTAAAGTCCTTAGAATCTATTTTTAGTCATTATTGTTAATAAATAGTTCATTTTCCACACTCTGTTCCTTTTTTATGTATTTGCATAGTTAAATAGAGGATTTTATATTTACAATCTTCTCGGAACACTGAAAACTTTTTCCAGAAGATAGAACAAAAGGATTTGGCATTGCTAAAAAATAATGTTATCACTCCTGGTAACAAACTCAGACATTTAATGCTTGTAGAATTGGAGAGAAGCAGCAGAGAGTATCAGCAAGCTCAGGAAAACCCCAAGATTGGAAAATAATAGCAAAACCTAAAATCTTTAGGAAGTAATAGATAACAAAACAAAAGTAAGAAAACCAATTCAGGATGATAAAAGATTGTGCATGCTCATTTGTCAGAACTTTGAAACGAGTGTAGGGGGCGAGAGGGAGGGAGGGAGGGAGGGAGAGAGAGAGAGAGAGAGAGAGAGAGAGAGAGAGATAGAAAGTATAGGATGGCTAGTACTAATAGAATTTTTGTAGCTCAGGGTTGAACTGTGAGGTCCTTGCTGCTCTCTTCATTTTACAGTTGTTTCATGATGTTCATTGTGCACTGATGAAGTTACCTAGCTGGATAATTAAGATCTGCCAGAAAATAATCAAATTCAGAGAGCACCAAGGGCTCTACAGAATGACTAGTTCTAATTACATACCATATTTTTCGGAGTATAAGACGCACCTTTTTTCCTCAAAAAAGAGGCTGAAAATCTGGGTGTGTCGTATACATCAAATACAGCATTTTTTTTGCCTCTCAAAGCCCCGCCCCTTCACCAAAATGGCCAAGTATATCCTTATGGAGGCTTTCAGACAGCTCATGGGGACTAGGGAGGGCAGAAATGAGCAAAAAACTGGTCGTCCCCCCCCCCCCCATCCTCAGCAGCACACTCTAAGCCTCCATAAGGCTATGCATGCATTTTTTTTACAAAAAATGGGCTGTTTTTTGCTCATTTCTGCCCTCCCTAGTCCCCATGAGCTGTCTGAAAGCCTCCATAAGGCTATACTTGGCCATTTTGGTGAAGGGGCGGGGCTTTGAGAGGCAAAAAAAATGCTGTATTTGATGTATACGACACACCCAGATTTTCAGCCTCTT